AATGTCAGCTCTAATTCCGAATGGTCAGCCCCCAGCCCCAATGGGCTGGGCAGCGCCTTAACCAGCCCACTTGTTAGCTCTGTCTCTTGACTGATGTCTGTCCTTTGCAGCTCAGATTTGTCGATTAGTGTGCTTTGAAGTATTGCCCAGTTTGACTACCTCATGCCTCCAGTCCCAGTACTTTGTAGTTGTTCTATCTTTTGAGACTTCATATCAGACAGCATAAACAGAAGAGGATACCATTCTAGCCACTCCCACAGCCCCCACCTGAGTTTGAGACTTTTTCACTAGGACTATGACAATAGCCTCCTACTAGGCAAGAAATTCACCAACCAACTTAGCTTTTCAAGAGCCACATGCAGAATCTGGAAGCCAGGGAGGGTCACAGAGGAAGAATACAAAAGCAAGACGAAGTAGAAATCATTCCAGCAGGATTAAAGCTCAGAGTGTGGGAAGCTAAGGACAACACTCAAAAGTAGGCCAGTGGTCCTTTTCAAAATCTATACTGGGGGGGGGGGGGGAGGCAGCTAGGTGGCAAAGTGGATACAGCACCAGCCTTGAAGTCAGGAGGACCTGAGTTCAAATGCGGCCTCAGACACTTGACACTTACTAGCTGTGTGACCCTGAGCAAGTCACTTAACCCCATTGCCTAACCGTAAAACAAAAAAACAAAACAAAACAAAAGAACAACAAAATCTATACTGGGGGAAAAAAAGAGGACGATCAAAGTGGGGGGGGGGACTACTACTCATAGTGGATGAAATTATGATAACTGATGAAAAGAGAAGGCTTAAATAAAAATGTTCAAAATTGGAAGAGAGATAGAGACAGAGACAGAGAGAGAAAGAGAGAGAGAGAGAAGGCTTAACTCTTATTTGGCCTGTGCTTTCTCTGCCAAGGAGAATGATCTTTGGACTGGAAAGGACAGAATAAAAATGGCTAAGAGGGAGTTGATATTCAAGATAAGTAAGGCAATAGATAGCAAGAGAACATCTAGCTGCCCAGAGTGCTAAAAGACTTGGCAAATGTGATTGCTAAGCCAGCTACTGGTCAGTGGGCTTGGAGAAATTGTAGACATCAACAGTGAGGTGGGAGGATTGCAGAAGGGTAAGTTTCAACAGAAGGAAAGAGAATGGAGCCACAATGCTACATGCCAGTGAGCATTCCCAAATGCATTCATCATTTAAAAGGAGGGTTAGTGACCATCTACAAAAAGAAGCAGTGATCACAAAAAGGCCCCAAGAATAAGTCATACCAGATTAACCTCATAACCATTTCTCACTGGTTATGAAATTGGTAGATCAGAGGAATGGTGTCAATATAATTCCCTAGATTTCAGTAGAGCATTTGATCAAGTTTCTCATGCTATTCTGGGGGGAAAGAGAGAGAGATGGGCTACATAAGGCTTCGATTTGGGAACCGGTTGAGTAGCCAGAGGCAAAGTCTAGCTGTTATTAATGGGTACATGTTATGGAAAGAGGTCTAGAGTAGAATGTCCCACGGAGGGCTCCATGCTCTTTGCTCTTTCTGATGAAGGCGCAGATGTCACAAAGCTAATACGCTGGCTGACAGAGTCCTCTGCTCAAGACCCAAATGAAGGAAGTATCTGAGGTCTTCAGTTCTGAGTACCACCTTTTAGGAAGGACGTCGATGAATTGGCAAGTGTGCAGAGGAGAACCACCAGGATGGGGAAGGACCATAAGTCCACGACATATAAGGACTGGTAGAAGGAACTAGGGCAACTAGGTGGTGCTGCAGTGGATAGAGCACTGGGCTGGCAATCAGGAAGACTCATCTTCATTAGTTCAAATCTGGTTGGTCTCAGACGCTTAAGTGACCCTGGGCAAGTCACTTAACCCTATTTACCTCAGAATCCTCATCTGTAAGATGAGCTGAAGAAAGAAATGGCAAACCACTTCCGAATCTTTGCCCAGAAAGACCCCCCCCCCCCAAAGGGGGTCATGACTGGAAACGACTGAACAACAAAGAAGGAACTGGGGATGTTTGTCCTAGACAAGAGCAGACTCAGAGGCAGCATGGGAGCTATCTTCAAGTATTTGAAGGGCTCTCATGTGGAAGAGGTCTAGCTTCGTTCTCCTTGGCCCCAGCGGACAGAACCAGCAGCAACGGGGACAAGTTTAGAAGAAGCCAATTTCGGCTGGAGGCAGGAGAAACTCCCTCACAATCACCGCTCTCCCCAAGTGGGTGGCAGCCTCAGGAGTCAATGGGTCTCCCCCTCCTTGGAGCTCTTCAAGCAGAGGCTGGAAGATCACTTGAAAGTCACGTTGTAGGCAGGATTCTCATTCAGGCACAGGTGGAACTTGGTGGCCTCTGGGGTCTCTTCCAACACTGAGATTCTGTGTGAATCGATAAATCTTGGGAACTGATTGGCAATGACTGATGAAGGATGCCAATAGCATGAATGTGGATGGCTCATATCAAAATGCTGAGGAGGAGCAGGTGCCGGGGAAACCTATTCAGCTTGGTCTTAGGCATGCTAAATTTGAGGTCTAGGTGGGACATCCAGATAGGCGCATCCTTTGGGCAGCTGGAGATGAAGTTCCGGATCTGAGGTGAGGTCAGGGCATTGACACAGGATCGTGGCAGTGAATGAGGTCACCAAGGGAGAAAGTGTAAAGAGAGAAGAGGACTCTTGGGAAAGAGCCAAATTAAGAGCTCAGAAAGAGGATTGGCAACCCGTGAAGGAGACGTTGAAGAGGAACGCTTAGAGAAGGAGGAGGCGAACCAGGAGCCTGTGGGGTCTCTGAGGCTAAAGTAAGAGAGGGGATCTGGTGGACGGGGCATTTGACACTGCTAAGTGCTACAGGGAAGTCAGGAAGGATGAAGACTGAAAAAAGGACGGTGGGATTTGTCCAATGAGGAGGTGCTGGGGACTTTAGAGAGAGCAGTCTAGTTTTAGGACCATGGTAAGGTCTGAAGCCCAAGTGGGTAGTGAAGAAGTAAAGGCACCAGCGGAGGCAAACTGCTTCCTGAAGTTTAGCCATGTGGAGAAGCTGGAAACTGGATCATCGTTTCTGGAAAACCATTTGGTACTCCGGCAAGAAAAGCTACCGGGTTGTCCAAAAGTTTGCAGTGATAACAAAAAGCTAGAAAGGAAATATGTGCCCAGGGATTGAGGAATGGGCTGAAGCGATTCTGATATGCAAACATCATGGAATATGCCTGAACCATAAAGAAGACAAATGACGAGAATTTGAATAAACCTGAGAAGACTCGTATGAAGAGATGCGAAGGAAGAAAAACCAATATAGGACGCCCACACTAAGTTAATCAACTGACTGTATGAGGCAACACAACTCTGGTCAATTATACTAGTCCCGGCTGGGGAGGCCCAAGCCGTCACGGTAAGGAGCACAGCCCCCTTTCTGTCTAAAATAGAGAAATAGCAAAGGTATTTTGTGATGGGATCTGTTTTCGTATTTGTGAGGAGTTGTCTTGTTTGCCCTAGCAAAACGGATACGGTAACGCGCTTAGCACTGGATGGGCCCCTGGAAATCAGCTAGTCCGAGGTACGAAGTTGAGGTCCAGGAAGCTGGATGATTTGCCCAAGGTCTCAGAGACCGTATATATAAGTGGCAGAGCTTGAAATCAGTCCCGGCTCCTCCGACTGTCTGGCCCGTTTCGTCCTCCGTGGCACTGAAAGAGCGGGTTAGATGACGTCTGACGGGCCTTTTTAAGTTCTTTCGCGACAGTGCCAGCTGGGCAAGGTGGCTGCACGGGCACGTCTGTCCTTGGGAGGCAAAGTGGCCTGTTGGGCAGCTAGGGTGAACAGCTGACAGTTACGGTTAGGGACCTGGGGTTGGAGGCGAGGGCCCTAGGCTCAAAGCCCATCCCTGCCGGCACATCCCCTAGCCTCTGCTTGACCCTGGGAGAGTCGCTCCGACTCTCAGAGCCTCAGTTTCCCTGCCTGCAAAATGAAGGGATGGGACTCGCGATCTCATCCCACCCCCAGCAGCTCTAGCGCCTACTGAACCGAGGCCGAAGGGACACGGAAGGAGGCGAGGCCGCCGAAGCACGCAGGCGGCTCCCCGCCGCGCTCCGGCCTCCTCCGCTGCCCGCCCTGCCAAGCTAGGCTAGCACTGGCGGGGAGAGGCGGGCCGGGACCGGCCGGGACGGGCGGCCACCCCGGAGCACGCTGGGAATTGTAGTGCGCCGCCCCCAGCACCCGGGAGGAGTCCCGGAGAGAGCATGCGCGAAGGGCCCCTCGGGCGAGTGGTAAACAGAGACGTCAGGCTGGGGGTGCTGCTTGCGGGATCAAAACAAAAGGGGAAGGCGGGCTGGGGGCCGCGGGGTGCTCAGGGCGCGGGTC